TCACTAATGATTTCCCCATTGACTCAAATAACGAAAAATATTCGGATGGAATAATCTATATTTAAATAACCTTTACATTAGTGCCAAGATCTTTCGGCATTACGGCGTCTTTAGGGCCCCCTTTAATGAACTAAAAGTCCGAGACCAAATGATTAAGCACATTGTATGGCGTATGCCCGTCTTCATTAGCCCAGTATAGGAGCAGAACAGTAGGACATTACATGTAAACCCCATTTCATTTCATTTCATTTCATTTCCAAATGATTAAAAGAAGTTATCTCCCTTCAATGGCTGCACCAGTTGCTAAACTCCCATTTTTAGCATTGACGTGGAAATGTAGTCAACTTAATGTTTTTTTTGTAGATTATATATCTTCAATATATGTATATTCAGAATCGGGAAATTAAAATATTCAAGATAGCCGCCATTAGGCATTTTCTCTGGTTTAAAATATATGACAGATTCTCCCCGATTGAAGATGGGTTTTATATAGAATTCGACCCGCTGAATCCAATGAGCTTGGGTATTCCTCCTAAATGTGATGGCTAATTCCGCTAGGGGGCCAAGTTCAAAATGCAGGCTAATTTTGGCTGGAAATTTTCGTAAAAAGGTGTGTAATATACTGAAATATAGGTTTTTGGTGTATTATATATCTTCAATATGTGTATTTTCACAATCCGGCCAATAATGAAAAGAATCGAGATCTTTTGGTTATAAACATACATGTGAAATTTCATTAAAAGCGGATACAAATTGTGACCTCTAGAGTGTCCACATGCTAAACCGTGAAAATGCGGTCCGATACATGCCAATATCGAAAGTAACAGAGATCGTTGGGGTATAAACATATATTTCAAAATAGGATAACCAGCGGCTGTCAGGCAAGATATGCCAACATTTTGCAAGAGATCGATAGAGAACAAGCTTAAAAAAACCATAAAAAAAACAACAAAAAACAAACAAACCCACGAATTTTTGTACAATCAGGGGCCATAATCCAAGAAGTTGTGGTCTGAAATGCCAGGCAGGATACGTCCACAATTTGCAAGAGATCAATAGAGAACAAGTTAAAAAGAAAAGCGATTTTTTGTACAATCAGGGGCAATAATCCAGAAAATTATACCTAAAATGCGCAAATATCATAAGGGGGTGAGATCTTTGGGATATAAAGATATGTTTTAAGTTTTATCAAAATCGGATAAAAATTGTGACCTCTAGAGGGCCACAACCTTCGTATTACATACTTTACACAATTTGCGTACCAAGAGCGGCCATATTTTTTTTGCATTTTTATTTCAATTTTCCCGAAATTCGAATTCAACCTTCATTGTAGTGGAATGGTGATATATAAACGGTTTTTAAAATCGGAAAAAAATTGTGAACTCTAGAGAATCCGCAAGCTAAATCAGGGTCCATAATCCAGGAAGTTACGTTCGGATATGCGCGATTATCAAAATGGGTAATGGTTATATATTCACGCGGTTTTTTTTTAAATCAGATAAAAATTGTGACCTCTAAAGAAACACAAGCTAAAAACTTGATGTTTTGTAAAATCAAGGCCCATAATGCAGGATGTTACGATCCGATATTTGCGAATATCGAAAGGAACCAGGATCCTTTGGTTATAAACATGCATTTCAAGTTTCACCAAAATCGGATCAAAATTGTGACCTCTAGAGGACCCACAACCTTGATATACCAGATGTTTACACTATTTGCGTAGAGGGGCGGCCATTTTATCAGGCAGTTTTCGTCCGATTTTCACAAAATTCGAACTCAACCAACATTAGGGTGTAACGGTGATATATTCGAACAGATTTTTATACGCCCACATTTTCATGTGGACGTATATTGTCGTCGCTCCTGTCCGTCCGGACGTCCGTCCGTCCACAATTGTTTGTGGACACTCTACAGGTCACAATTCTTATCCGATTTTGATGAAACTTGAAATATAGGTTTATCTCCAAAAGATCTCGACTGCTTTCGATATTGGCATATATCGGATCGAAACTTCATGGATTATGGCCCCTGTTTGTACGAAAAATCACGTTTTTAGCTTGTGGACCCTATAGAGGTCACAATTTTTATTCGATTTTTTTTGAAACTTGAAATGTAAGTTTATAACCCAAAGATCTCGGTTCCCTTCGATATTCGCGCATATCGGACAGTAACTTCCTGAATTATGGCCCCTGATTGAAAGAAAAATCGCGTTTTTAGCTTGTGGACCCTATAGAGGTCATAATTTTTGGCATAATGGCCGCCCCTCTACGCAAATAGTGTAAACATCTGGTATATCAAGGTTGTGGGTCCTCTAGAGTTCACAATTTAGGTGTATATTTAGGTGTACCTAAATATACTCTTCAAAAAAGTAGGGGATATTGAAATGCAAATACCTATGCAGGTTGTGATATGATAAATAGTCATGGACACTTGACATGCTTTGAGAGTATGTTCACAGATGAAGAACTTATCGCCCCAACAGAACCACTGAGCTGCACATGGGACACGCAATCGCCCCATACACGTGGGAGGGGTTCATTGTCAAATTTGACACTTCAAGGAAGGGTTGATGAAAACTGCCGCGTGCTGGTTTATCTATCCATGTTTGCTTTCCTATCGGTTCTTGCATAAGATTTACTGTTTAGCGTATCTTTGCTTTAGTGTGCTACGTTTAATTTGATGGGTAGACGTGTTCGTCGACGGCAACGTCAACCGACAACACTGAAAGAATTGGCCGTGGCACTGCAAGAGGAGTGGGTCAGATTACCCCAAATCGTGATTGGACGGTTGATTAGGAGCATGCCACGACGAATTGCTGAATGTCTGAGGATTGGTGGAGCAATTACTCATTATTAAGACAAAAATCAAAAACGTCTATTTTCACTTTTGACGGTGTATCTCTTTGCGAGTGAAATGGGGCCGCCAGATAAGCTGCCCATATGGACACAGCTCACCAAATATTTCTACGCCGTCACCCATGAATGTAGGGCGAAAGTTATTTTTAGTCTTTCTCCCCCTTTTACTTTTTCACCCTTTTGCATGGCGATTTTTGTTTACTTTTTGGTGTAAAATCGAAGAAAAGGGTTTGAAAATACATTATCTGTCAGGTTTTGGTGAATATTCATGATTTTGAGGCGGAAGGATACAAGAGTTGAGAGGTTGATTAGCTTGAAATGTAGGGTCAAAAATTGCATGTTTACTTGTCTCTACTTCCAGATTGTGTATCTCAAGTTTTCCATGATGAACCTCATACGTGCTTTTGGGCAAGAGGTTGCCACATGTTGCTCCATCTGTGGTAGAAAGCGTTCTACCCAACGAAAATTTGGGGAAAAGTTAGAGCCGGTCTAAGAGACGAGAATAAACATTGAAGTCAATGGGGAAATCATAAGTGATGTGTGGCCTATATGAACTGTTTATGTTCATGTGTAGGCAATTGGCCTGTTATTAACGTACACTGGTTACCTCTAATAAAAACAGCAGTGTATTTCTGCAGTTTTGTATTGTTTCTGAATATCCCCTACTTTTTTTAAGAGAGAGAGAGAGAGAGAAATGGGGTTTAACGTCCACTCGACACAAACTAGGTCATTTCGGGACTAACATATGGTTTAATTTTATTTCATTAATGCGCGTAGGGGTCTTTAGCAGTGGGAGGAAACCGGAGGACCCGGAGAAAACCCACGAGGTTGGACAGGCGAAACTACTCCTTGTCACGTACAACCGGGGATTCGAAACCACGCCAGTTGACTCAATGACAGGCCGTATGATACAGCACGCACGTGCTAACCATTCGCCCCCCCCCCCTTTTTTAAAAGTATATAATATAGACACGGTTTTTTTTTATTGCGTTTCCAAAAAGGCAAATTACATGTTTATAGGAAGGAGCAATAATATGTACACATGTTATGCGCGAGAGATCTTATTTGAGCAGTAGCGAACGCACGCTGGATATTGATTAGGCAATTTGTGGTGCACAGGGCTCACACTGTCGGTCGCCAAATTCGCAATTTGCGATAAAATTATGAAAGTGGCGATAAAATTATGAAAGTGGCGATTAAATTTTGTTTTTGGCGATAATTTTGGCAATAAAGTTTTTGGGTACTGGCCTTTCTTTTTACAATTAACGAAAAAAAATCCTTAAAATTCTAATCGTATTAATCCTTGATTAACCACTGGTGCATACCCGAACCCGAATATAACACTCAATTTCATCATATACAAAACCAATAAAAATCTCAAATTTACACGTTTCATAGAAACAGAATGATAACTGTTTTTTTTATTATATGTTATTTGGGTGTATGCAACAGCTTGAGAGAATTGAAAACTTTGATAAAGATCACACCAGAACAATTCAAATGTGTTTCTAATGATTCAATATTTATCAAAATAACAAGTCTCGGGTAACATTTACGAATGTACATCTAGAAATTCCTCATAATTATTAAAATTTGCAGAAGCGGGTATCCTTTTCTCTAAGTTACAACAATTCTTGCCCTTGTTGATCTATTATTTATTTGGTGTAGTGTACTTATTAATTAAAAGTGGTATGCACTTGACAGTTGGCTTCGGTGACCAGTAAACGGAAAGGCCTTTATTAACATGGTTGGGGCAGGAAATAAATACAGTATTTAAAGTTTAGAAATATTTTATTGTCATTATATTAGACAAATATTAACAAACATCCCAAGAAATTTACCAAATGCTAGGACAATATTTTTTCGACTTTTGGTTTTCACTCCTTTTTTTTTAAATTTGATTATTTCACTAAATTATAATATGTCCTTGCAATGGTGGTTTTCTTCTGTTCTGACTAGATACAGTTATAAATACAATATTTTATAAATTAATTCAATTCATATATTTACAAATCCATATTTACATAGTACTTAATAAAAGGGGTCTGAAATATATTAAAATATAAATGAACAATTTACAAAAAAAAAAAGAAATGAATGTGCAAGACAAACAAATTAAGTAAAATAGTATTTTTAAACAATTGAAATTGAATTTCACAACAAACAGATCCTTTAATATCACAATTCTTTTTATGCACTATTATTATCATTCCTTCAAATGTTGGCACGTCACTTCTAGTCTTTATATAGGAGTTTTATTTATTCGAACATCATACTCGTTGAGTTACAATCATCACCACTTGACCATTCCGGGCCTGCAAGAAGAAAAATAACAATTCATGAATATGTATTTTTAATAATGATAAAGGATTTTTTTTTTTTAAACCCAAATGGTGGGGTAGAAAATATTTAGAAATTTAACAATAGTTTTTGTTTAAGAAATGTATTGATTTCAACTACGATAAATATACTCACTCAGACTTTCAGCCATTATGGAACTGTTAAGAGATTTAGGACTGGAAGAATGACCACCCTTCTGTTGTTGTTGCTGGTATTTCTTTTGGCGAGCACGGGAATTTTGAAACCAGACTTGTGTGACACGTTTGCTGAGTCCGGTTATTTGAGCAATACGCTCAAGATCCTGTCCATCCGGGTTACTATCAATATTAAAATTAGCTTGGAGTACTTGTACTTGTTCTTCAGAAAATGTAGTTCGAACTCGTTTTGCTTTCTGCTTTTGGATTGTATCAGCATCTAAAATGATAACGGAGGAATAATTTCACTAAGAGTCGGAGATACAGGAAGATTTAACTAAATGATTTTGTAACGCTTCTACCTTTTTAAACCTGTCAAATGAATTTTGTTTTGTTACGAAATAACTATTAATGTAAAATATTATTGAAAACTGTAGGGCAGATTTTAATATAGAATTTAAAATTTTGAATTAATTACCTGTATGTGGTCCGCCTTCTAGAACTTCAATATAATGAGTTTTACACAGAACTCTGTTGTCTTGTAGAGCGAATTCTTCCCCTGTTGACAACTGTCTTTTACAACTATCACAAGCAAAACAAGCGAGATGGTAGACATTATCACGTGCTCTTCTTACCCAATCATTAGGCTGGATATGTCTCTGGCATTTGGAACACTTGGCGCCATATTCTCTGTGAAAAAAAAACCAAACACATATTATAAGTTTATGCTATGCGTACATTAAACTTCTTTTCTTCCAATATCAACATTATTAAAGATTATATTAAGATAGAATATTGATATCGCGTATTGTAATTATATGCCTTAATCTGGTTATAAATCCTAGAAATGAGCGATCACGTGTATTATATCCAAGAACATTCATCTGATGGATGAGACGATAAACATTACGCATGCTGATAGCTAAATAACACACGTCTTGTCACTTTCTATTAAGTCCTCTCAAAAGCATATTTCCACTTGAAACATTCTTCGATCGTAGCTTTTGTTCAAATTTTACACTGTAATTTTATTCTTCGCACGTGAACTATCCCAGTCTCTACTAATTGGGGGCCGTGTAAACTCAAATGACAGACGACTGCGTGTAATTTTATAGCGCGCTTTCTCCGCTCGGAAATGACGTCTGCTCGTCGACCAATTCTCTCGCCTAATTACAAGTGGTCGATATGTGAGCCATCAGAATTCATCGACAACTCATTTGTGAGATAGCACAACAACAGAAGTCAATTGAAGTTAATTTCAATCAGGAATTACATTTGTAAGTAATCTGTCAAGAATTTATTGAATCAAAGCCAAACAATAGAATCAGTGGAATGAAAATAGTTCTTGGATTCTTCATGCAAATAAAATCTGTCACGGATTCGTAACATTTATTCAAAGGGTGCGAACGTCGTGTGAAATAGACATACTATAAGAATTGCTTTGCTCATTTATTAACGCGTAATTTGGTTAATATCCTTCACATTCAAAATAATATTAACTATATATTTACCTTGTGTAATCTACACGACAATAAATATTATCTCCTTTAATGAAACACGATGATTGACGTTCCAGTACACATTCACAAACACTGCACCGTAAACATTCCACGTGAAATGAACAACCATTTACTTTCAAAAGGTAACGATCATGTATTACTCCACCACATCCAAAACAAAGTTCACCTTCAGTCTGAAAGAAACAAAAGTTATGAAAAAAAATAATAATAAATTTATGTTCCATAGCATTTCCAACTGTTATTATTACTAAACAGATGTAAATATTATTTAATCTCCTGTGGAAATAAATCACACAATTCGACACGTGCCAATCATCGCCCTAAAGATTACATTATTTCCTCATTTTCTAAGTTTTCCCGTATGGTCGCGGTAATAAAATTAAATGATATTGTATTTCATTTCACATACGATGTGGATATAAATTTTGTAAATAATTCTAATCCATGTTATATATATATATATATATATATATATATATATATATATATATATATATATATATATATAACAATTTAACTTTCAGAATAGAGAAATTATCAGAATATATTTTATATAAATATTTACAAAATAAGCATTATTTGCAATGAAAAGAACACGTTATATTTATTATGTAATGTCACATAATAAGGTGACATTTTGATTAATACTGGGCGTACTTTTTACGGACAGTGTTAAGAAACGCAAGAGAACCTATACATGTACTTAAAGTAAAAGCAAGTGAGTATTTTAACAAAAGAAATAGCAGTAATGCATTTCCTGTGCTCGACATCTCACATTGTCAACTTTAATGGAAATGAGATAGTGTGGTGTTCGATTCCAATAGACTTATTCGAGGGGAATATGTCCATTTCTCACATAAGGGAAATGGCGCTAAGTGCCGCCAAGAAGGGCTTGCTAGGCCTACGCGCGTGTTTTCTTAAAAGAGTGTATACCCGCCTTCCGCTTAGTCGAATCTGGATAGAGTGCTTCCGTAAGAGTCGAAATTACTTCCTTTCTCTTGACAAAAACGCAAGAAAATCGTATTAAATGTGTCTTAAGTGAATAAAGACTTAGAAGGAATTTCTATAGAAGCGCTGTAATGTTGAGAAAATTCGTTTTAACTCTCACGGCATTTTCAACCTTCTTTTCGTCTCCCATGGCGACTTCTGTCGTTCCCTATTCAATCGCATTTTGTTGTGTGTCGCCGAAACGGAAATACGGAAATGACAATTCTTCCTGCGAGTGGCTCCCGTTAACTCGGCTGCAAATTGTTTCTCTTTCAATAAGAGTCATTCTACTGTACTTTTAATCTATTAACTTCCATATATAGAGGCGTTATTTAATATGGAATTTTAATACAGATTCGCGTAATTTAAGAAGTGTTAAAATGTGGCATGTTGATTTGGAAATAATATTTGAACATATAAACATCTAAATTATACACACATATTCTTGTGAAGGGGTGTATTGTTTTGGTTTTTTTTTTCAAATTAAATTTTTAAAAAAGAAGTAACTTACCTTGACGCAAGTCATATTGAAAGCATAATGATCTGCTGATTCGGGTGAAAAGGACTCGTCTTCAAAATCCGAACTCGATGCCATTTCTTAAAAAATATTAATGATACGCCAATGTTAGAAATAACTAGAATGTTTGATGTAAGTAAAACTTATCCAAGTAACTGATAGTAGAAGAAGCACGAGCCGTTTGATGGTGTTCGATTTCGATTCTAGCCTTTTTATCCCCAGATCCTCGCTGAAAACTGTTCACTAATAATTATATAAAATCATAAAGCTCTCCAATCTGTCAGAGCGCCTATAGCCAATCAGAGATAAGCCTGGGTAGTACCACCCGCTGATTCGTCGACAGATCTAATGAAATGGAAACCCGACCAATGACACGCCCCGCTGATTTTCTTAGCGCACGAGCCGCGACACGCGTGAGTTGACAAGCGTAAACAGTGTAAATATATCAGAGTGATTTCATATCACGACAGTACCGTTAGTTTTTACAACATTAATTGTTTTCTTTGGTGAATTTTAATAACGGAGTTTTCTTTTCATCAGCCACACTTTATGCCATGGAATCTATCCTTGATTGACATCGCTGAAATCAACAACATCTATGAATATGCGTGGAAAATTGTGCGTTGAATTTAGTATTTTCTTATATTAATATTTATTCTTAAACTTCGCCTGAACAGCAAACATTTATTTAACATCTGCAAATCTGTTTGTTGGATATTTTGACTGTTTTTATCTGTTTCATATATAAAGCTAAGAATGACGATGCAGGTCGCACACCTAAAGGCTATATTTAAAATCTAATCCGCATGTAAACATGGGTATTTCGATAAGTTGTATTTCATAATTTGTGTTTTAGCAAGGATTAAAGCCGTATTCATATGAACAGTGTGTATTGTATAAGATTACGCGTGGTAGTTTTATCCATATGAAAATGATATTCCCACGGTGTAAGCTCTATAGCCTACAGTCTTTTACTGAAGAAATAGTTATCAATGGGTTCCGTGCGTTTTGTTATCGCGTGATCATATTTTTTCCGAATCAATTTTTGTTAAGGTTAATCTGTGAGTCTCAATACATTTTATGTGAATAATAATTTAACTCGTAATGCCGATTCAATTTCGTTAAATATCCGTTGTAACAGAAATGTTATGGGTAAACCAGTTATAGTGTCTTTTCATAGAGATTATTTATGTAATTTATGTAATTCATGAACATCGTACAGTAATATTACCCATGTATGCGTCATATATACACTTACATAGAGTAATTTTTCCAGTAATAGCTTGATTTGTGTTTCATAAAATATACGTGCTTATATTAAATATGTACCCATGCTTATAGTACAGTTCCAGGTCACTTTGCTAACTACAATTTTGTGAAAGTAGAATCTCTGAAAGGAATATTAGTCTAAAAATGGTTCAATTCATGCTTACATTAGACATCAATATTAAAGCAAGATAGACTAGTCTGTGCAATATGTAAGGGTTTGAATAAACAGGTTTAAAGCTTGTGTGAATCTGACAGATTAGGACATGTTAATTTCATGTAAACCGTGTCGATTTCAGCAACCAAGTGTCAGGTTTACCTTTCCTTTTTGCGAACCACTTATTAAAATAATAGTTTTCTGAGCAAAATCCTCTTATAAAAAGCATATCTTTATTTAACCGAGTGACTAACTTTTTGATCGGCATCATTCAAAAAGTCGATTCGACTGGGCTTAGCTTCGCGGAAATATGCCCAAACAAAGGGTTCAGTGGTAATTATGTCGTAATATTAAATACGTAACGGTAACCGAGCTCAGTGGGAGCAGATTATTATAAGCGTAGCATGTTCGGATACGTCTACAATACTTTTGTCTTTCTTGTTCTAGATACAGTGATAATGCTGTCGTTGTGATTAACGGTGAATACAAGATTAGGTAAGGATCTGCAAATTACCACGCAGGAATGTTATCGTCGCTCGAGCTACATGAAATCGAGTGGTTGTGAATAAGGTGCAAAGTAGCAAGTCGCTCGAGTTTTTTCGTCGGAGACGGGAGTAAAATTCCTTGGCTTCCTATCTCAGCAGGGAATAATGTGATTGTAGAAAGTCTGGTATAGAATTATGGTTGATATTGACATCATGTCTATATAGGTTAACATATTCTATGTAGATAGCAGTATATATTTGACATGTAATATAGACAATGTCATTTTACCAAATAAATTTCGGCCAACATATTATCCTTTAATGGATAGAAAAAGAAACTTTGTTTCACGTGGAATTTTCATTATGACAAAGAATAGAATAAAAAAATAATTTTATTATTAATCTATAACCATAAACGACAAATATCGTGTTATTTATATGATAATAACAAAGTATAACTTGTTTCTATCGGTGAGGGATTTAATATTATTACGCGCCATGCTCAAGCAATTGGAAACGTTCAGTTGGATTATCGTTAGCTAGTGATCGGCAGGAATACATACAAATTTAAATTGTTTCAGTGGCATTTAGTAACTGAATGAGAATAACACATGACACAATGATATGGAACACAAGTTACTTGAAGGATTTATTTCAGCGACGTTTCTACGAAGAATGATAGTAAAATGGCAGTCGTATTTTCGCACAGGTCTGCTTATGAAAATCATGATGATACAAGATATATTTATTAAATTTTTTTAAGAAGATTTTCCAAAAAAATATTTTTGAACTGTACTGATTGGTGAGTTCGTTCAGTAAACACAAATCATCAATCAGCTTCAGATCATGATAGGATTTATTATATCAACAACACAATCATTAAATTGATGTTTTAAAACACAATGTATGGATGACATCTCCAGATAAAACAATTTAATCAACGATACTGGATTAAAATATTGCAATCACTAAAACATAAACTTACCAGTAAACCAATAGAATCCATAACTATATAATTATTTATACAAAGTTAATATGAATGTAAATATATTAACACGATTTCTAAAGTTGAACAGTTGAATATGCAATTTCAAAATTACTATTATATGAAAATATCTAAATTTAGACAAGTTTATATCAAACTGTATTTTATTGAAACATTGTACTCGGTGTTGTTGGGGTTTTTTTTTTGGGGGGGGGGGTTGTTGTTGTTGTTTTTTTTTTGTTTTTTTTTAAAAGAAAGGTTAAACTTTATTGATCTAATGTTTTACACTGTTTTGCAATATACTGGCATTGAGGGGTTGTATTATTAAACATGATTACGCTCCCTTAAACTCCCTCGGAGCTAAACCCGTTTAAGGCTTTCAAAAGAATATGAGGCTTAACAACAAGATTATGTTTAGTATTTGCACCTTTGCAATAGAATTAATAGTACAATATTTCTAACACAAACAAAAATTGATATAGTTCTTGTTTTCCAATTTATAAAAGGCAGTAATATCAAAATCAATATTACCTTTCCTATATTCCATTGCATATTGAAGTTGAACACAAAAAAAACCCCTTCCTAATTACCATAAAGAGATTAAAACAACACTTTATTCTCGGCTTATTAAAACAACCCATCAGACATACTTAAGATTGTTGTAGTTCTATAAAGATACGGTCGATACTTGTATTAAAACAATAACTGCTGATCAACGACTAAATGGGATTAACATATAATCCGAATTTGACGTTAAACTGGCCCAGATCAGTTTT